CTTCTTAGCAATATATAATTGATCTGTCCATTGTGACTACATTGCTTGGTCTAACTTCTTATTATTGATTTAATTTGAGAATGATTCTTCATATCTACTCAAATTATAGTACTTGTTAAATCTGTGCATTCGATAATTCTATTAGCTCTCCTTTTGAATAACATATTCGGCCTCTTGATTATCATTAAATATTTATGACTATTGTCATTATCGTTTGTCATGGAATAATCCTTTTCTATCGCTATCTGTTATGCGCCCCTAACCCTACGCATAACTGTCGTAACCAACCATTTTTTTATTACGTCCGTATGGCATTTTTCGCATCATATAATTTTATAACAATTAATGAACGAATACTCTTATATTCAATTTTTCGACGCCACTCAGTGACCAAGTTCATTTTTGCTTATTTCATCAATATTTCCCACCTCTGCCAAATCATTGAACACTAATGTTCATTTTTAACTAATCTATTTCGATGAGCTACTTATAATCATCCTTTTTGATTTCTAATTATTCTATAGCAACGCTAAGGTTCCAAGTTTTTTATATCAATAGGCTTTTGATAATGAATGAATGAATATTTATCCTTTTTCAACTCCATTTCTGCACTAATAGTAATAATCAAAATATTTATTATGCTGCCATTCCCTATCTTCACCGATCTGACAATCAATGAAGCCTTGTGCTACTCTTTCTAACTCTTATATTTTTATATAACAATGCCCAAGGGTTATAATTTGTAGCAGTATCTTTCACATCAGTGGAATTTTGATAACCAAATGAACAAGAACTTTATGTCTACCCTTTTTAGTTCCGATTCTATTTTGATAACAGTAACCTTTATTCTTATTTTTGTCGATCTTTATAAATGGTACTTCTCTGGATTGGCAAAGTTTTTATAATGAATGAATGTTCGTTCTTTTCAATTCCCAACTTCATTTGATAAAACTACTTACTTTATGGTCTTTTTTATTAAATTGTTTTTCTTCGTTTGTTGATACGATTGTTTTTCCAATATGTTCGAATACGTTGCATATCCCAATTATTACTACAATCCTGAAGCTCTCTTAAGGTTTCGATAGCTATGTCTTCAGGGAAAGAATCAAAAGAAAGTATACTTTCGAGTATCACTTTTTCACTATTTGTCATATGTCTACGGTATTGGTTAATCCAAAGGGCATTACTTTAAATTTATATAGCCTATATCAAGTAGTAAATATAGTTTTGGATACATCTTGAGGAGCCATGGCCTTGCCAGTAATCACTTACTAGATTTAGAGAAGTAAACCATCCAAATTCTTGTAATATGTCTAAAAGTTCATCAATTCTTGGTAGAGGGTAGCTGTTATTTTTAGTTACTGCATTTAATTTTTTATAATCTATACAAAAACATAGTTTTCTATTTTTCTTTTTAATGATAACAACTAGAGAGGCAAAAGAACTTTTAGAAGGCTGAACAAGATTTAGTTTTAACATTCTTTGAATTTTTTCTTTAATAAAATCTGATTCTTTAGGGGAGGCTTGATATAAAATTATTGTTTTATAGGCTTATTATTTTTGACTTCGATCTTATAATAGATTTCATTAGTTCTTTTTAAATCAGAATCATTTTGAGCGAAGATATTAATATATTCATTAACAAGATCATAGAATTCTTCTTGTTGTTTTTTATTTAAGTTTCTAACATTAAGTTTAAAAGGAGGGTTAATAGAATCTTCTATTTTATCTTCATAGAAGGTTGGTAAAATTTTTTGAATTTTATTTCATACTTTATTTGTTTTTTTATGACAATATGGACATATCTGCTTTAAATTTTTTTTTTTTTTTTTCGATGTTAAGGTGAGGTCTTGCCCCATATCTTTATTAGATATTATTAAGTATTGCCTTATATGGCTACATATCTATCTTAAGAATACAAGCTTAGACAACTTTTATCTACGACCTAACCTACCAGAGTATGCTACGTTTCCAATACGTATTGGGTTATACCTGGATTTGGTGTTCAGACTATTTCTAGTTACCCACCATTTTCACCCATATCTCACCATCAAACCTTGATTACTTCCAAATTGGTCTATTCGGGGAATCGGTCCTTTATGGCCTCCCAATTTGGTGTGCCTGTTATTGGATACTTTATACTGGTATGTACTTTTCTATAGGTGGCCTCTCGTATATATATCTTAAGCCAGGGTCCTGCTGCTGCCACCAGCCCATGTGAGAAGTATTGGTATCACATGTTGGATCTGAGTGTCACCTATAGGTAGTGCAATACTAGAGACAGTCACCAGCCCTTCCACTTACTTCCCCAGGTATACTGACCTCATATCTCAAGCCAGGCCTCTGCTGCCGCCGCCAGTTTGCCTTCCCCAGGTCTTGATATTTCCTAGATTATCTGGTGCAGTTGTACAACTTCTACTCCCTTATATACTCCCTTATATGGTATTTGCTGAGACTTTGCTTCGTGAGAACCCTTAAGTCGCACAGCAACTATAGGGTTATATACTTCCAGCCATTGGCTTTCATAATCGCTTTAATGATCTATCTTGTTAAAGACTAGCCTAATACCACAAAATTGCTTAAGTAGCAAGCTAGATCACTTCCAGCTATTTTTAGTTGGTGTAGCATTCGTGCTGGTGAATCCTAGCTCTTTTCATCATAGACTTCTATACAGGTATAACCAGAGCTCCGATTTGGTGCATTTAGACGTACAGGAATAGGTTACATTCTCTATGCAGAGTAACCTTCTATAGTCATTCTACCTATGCCAGAGGTGCTTCCAATTCTAGTTAAAGCATAATTCTTTACCACAGCCCATAGTCATATATCACTGCTTCACTCACTACTCTGGTTTTGGTAGTATTAAATCATTCTTTCAAGCAAGTACCTAATGCTATTCTATATTAGGACTTATACGCATGAACCATTGATCATCTTTCCAAGCAAGTACCCACAAGTTGGGTGTAGGGATGTTGGTACTGCCAAATACGGAGGTGATAGAATGTTGGTATTGCCTCTTAGTTACCCAACCGAAGACTTACACGTGCAATCTTTTTACTGTCTAGACCTTCTGTAATGTTGCTGTCACACGTAGTACCAACTCTCCACAACCTGTTTTCTTCTGGGAACTCCTTATTCAGGTCTCGTACTGCACTTGAACTTTTCACAGGGCTTTGTATCCGATTATAGCCTGTAGGTTACAGAAACAAATTTATTAAATTTGCCTCCAGCCTGACTTGAACCGTTGACCTTGTCTGTGAGAGTTTGGGAGCTTAACCAATAAGCTATGAAACCCAAAACCCTTTAAATTTTTTTTTTTAATTTCTTGCCAAAGATTAAGAGTATAGATTTTTTCTTCAAGTTGTTCATCTTTATATTCAGTAGATTCATCAGATTTACTCAAGGATTCATATTCACTTTTACTTTCATTAAAGCGGGTTCCAATTATTTGCCTAATATTTATTTGTCTAATAATTACTTTCTTGACAACCATTTGCCCAACAATTATTTGCTTGACATCTTCATTTGTTTAACAATCACTTGCCTGACACCTTTTTTTATTTATAATCACTTTTTTAATATTTTAAAGGTGTTGGGCAAATGATTGTCAGGTAAATGAAGATGTCAGGCAAGTAATTGTTAGGCAAATAGTTGTCAAAAAAGTAATTGTCGAGCAAATAAATGTCGGGCAAATAATTGGGACCCCATTAGAGCTTTCTTCTTTTGTTTTTCCTTTAGATATAGCTTCAATTCTTGAAATTCTAGTAATATGTCTGAATTCAATAGCAACTTGAATTTTTATATCTTTATTTTTAATTTTTATTACTGATTTTTTCTAGTTAATTTTTGTTTTAGCTTTGGATAACTAGTTATTACTAACAATTACAGAGTATATATCTGTATCTGCAACTACTACATCAATTGGTAAAGAGTATTTTCCAATTTTAATAGATAAGTTGTTACTTCTCCAAGAGATTTTCTCTTTTCACTATTTATATTTAACATTAAGGTTGTTGATGGTTTTGTGATTTTTAGACCAATACGTTTGAGAAAATAATTAGAGATAATACTTTTAGCAGAACTACTATCAAGAATAATATTGGTAATAACTCTATTAATATTGGCTTGACAATATAATGCTATAGTTCTAAATTTTCTATCATCAGTATATTGAGCAGTAACCATAGATTCAGGAGCAGGTTTAATCTTTTTCTTTCGAAGACTTTTACTAAGTTCTCTTAGATATTTAGGATTTTCAGCAGCAAGTTGGGCAATAGAGATATTTGCTTTAGTTTGTTGTAAGTTTTCAACAATTAAATATTTTTGTACATTTTTACTGATTGTTGGTTTATGAAATCTTGGATCTTGTAGAGGATTTATTTTCTTTTTAGCTTTAGGTGTTTTAGAACTTTCTGCTTAAGGATCATTTACTACAATATTTTGGACTTTTGGAGTTTTATTTTCTTCTACTACTTTTCTTCTTTTTTCAATATATGCTTCATTAATATTATTTTTATCTTCTTTTTTTAAATAGATCATAGAAGAGTTTATATTGTTTTGAGAAGCATCAGGACCTTCTGTATTCACTGATGCTGATTCAAGTTTAAATGTTATAAGAGAGCAACTAATTGTTGTGTAAGTTGATTATTATTATTATTATTATTATTATTAGAGTTATTTTGTAGTTAATTGTTATTATTTTAAACAGGGTTTGAATGGTTATTATTCCTGGATTGATTATTTCTAGATTGATTATTATTATTTGGTGAAGTGTTATTTTGTTGATTATTATTATTTCTTGGATTAGAACAATCCTATGCAATATATCAAGGTTGAAAACAATTAAAACAAACAGGTCCTCTGTGATTGTTATTGTTGTTATTATTATTATTGTTGTTTTGGTTGTTTCTTCTAGAATAGTTGTTATTTTCTAGTTTTTTTCAATTTTCTTTTCAAGGTTTTCCATATATTTGGTGAGAGTTTCCATTATAATTTTAACAGAATTAGAAGGTGTAGAAGATGAAATAACAATATTATTGTTAAGATTAGAAGTAATATATATTGCAGCACCATAGTAAGTAAGTTCAGAGGTTTTTGCTCTATTAACTACTTTATCCCAAGTATTTTTACCAAATAGACGTACTACTATTTGTAATTCTGTTTTTAAACCAGTAGTAAATTTACGAACTTTTTTATTTCTGAATAAACATTGGTATTTGTTTTTTATCGATGATATAATTCATGTAGATGCATAGCATATTGGTCTATAGTTTCAAATAGCCCTTGTATACAGTGAGTTAGTTCAGTAGCCCAAATATCAATAAGAACAAGAGTACAAAATTAGTTAAAGAATCAAGGTTTAAAACTATTAGCTTGATTTGGTACATCCTAGTATCCAAAGGCTTGTTGTTGGTTAGTATTATTATACCAGATTGTTGCTTTATTTTTAAGATAAGCAGAAATAATTTGTAATTTTCTTGCATCAGTAAAGTTGTTAGCTATAGCTATTCATTCAAATTCTTCAATCCAAGTAGCTGGATCTTGATTACCACTAGTAAAAGGCATAATTTTGATAAGTTTGGTTTCTCTTTGTCCAAGACAATTAGTGTTATTTGTAACAGCATTTGTTTAATTTTAAATCTGGTTATCTAGTGCTTGGATAGCAGCAATTAAATTGTTAACATCTTGTGCTTGTAATGCTATATTATTATTTGAAGGTAATAATAGTGGCGTAATAGGAGGAGAAGATACAGGAGTTTGATATAATTGTTCTAAATCAAATTTAGATAAATCAGAAGTTTCAAAGGTTTCAGACTTTACTTCACTATAATTATAAAGAATTAAAAAGAGATCTAAAGTAAATTGATTTGTTTGAAGATAAGCAGTATAGATTTGAGTTGGTAAAAAATCAAATATTAAAGAGGTTAAGCTTTGTTGATATCAAATAGTAAAGATAAGATTTTTAAAACATTTTAAAGATAAATTATTAATATTGTATTTACTAATATCTTGAAAAACTAAAATAGTTTAATCAGAGTATCGAATAACAGGAAATTCTGCAGAGAACCAAGTCCAAAAATTAACAAAAGAAATATCTATTTTTGTGTTTATAGAGTAACAAATAGAACAAGAATAATCAGGAAGGTGTCTGTTTAAATAATCAAAAGTATCTAGATTAAATATATGTTTGTTGTAAAATCTATCATGCAAATTATTTTTCTGCTAAAATAGGTTAAGATTATTAGTCATTCAATAGTTAATTGAAGTTAAAGTATTCACAAAAGAAGTTAAAATGTTGTTGATTAAACATGAAATAAAAGAAGACAAATATATTTGAATAAGAAAATAAGATAGAAAATAAAGTATATTTATGAGCAAAATAAAGATAAATAAAGAAAATAAGAAATAAGAATAAGAAATAAAAAGATAGAAAATAAAGAGTAAAAGAGAAATATAGAAAAGAAAATATAAATAAAAACTAAAATAGTAGAGAAAAATATCCCTTTCAAATATTATATTTCTGCCAAAAGGCACCAAATATTATTGCTCTATTTTTATGTCACTAGGCTCAAGATGAAGTCCAGCAGAAGAGAGCATAACTAGCAGTTCAATTTTATAGAACTAAAGCAGAGTAATATTTAAAAGGGTAGAACTTTAATAACAGAAAACAAATAAAGTAGAGTATAACTTTATTAGATTCAAGAGAGTCCAAACTTAGTTCAAGCAATACAGCAAATACTATTAGACTCAGGGAATCCAAACCTTATACACTCTAAGGATAACAAGAAACAACAAAGAAAATAACAAGAAAACTCAAAGGAAATAGCAATTTTCAAGAAGACAATAGTTTATTATTACTAGCAATCAAATTACAAGAACTTATTCAAAGTTATATTGAAGAAGGGAAAAAGGGAGGCTATTTATAATATTTTGGAACTATGTAGATATTAATTTAACATCTATCTATCATATGATGCATGTAGAGTTATATAGTACATCACATGTTACATTTAATTTAAATTTGGTTACACTAAGGGACGTGACAAAAATTAGATGATTTTTTAGGGGGAGGGTAAAAAAAATTAAAATTACATAT